AAGCTATTTGTTATTATGTCAAATATGTGGGTGGTATCATCTCTACTATTTATTATTTTATTTATTTATTTTTAAGACGGACTATCATTCTGTCACCCAGGCTGGAGTGCAGTGGCACGATCTTGGCTCACTGCAACTTTCTCTTCCTGAGTTTAAGCAATTCTCCTGCCTCAGCCTCCTGAGCAGCTGAGTTTACAGGCATGTGCCACCACCCCCAGCTTATTTTTGTATTCTTAGTAGAGACAGGGTTTCACTTATTGGCTAGGCTGATCTCAAACTCCTAACCTCAAATGATCCGTCTGCCTCAGCCTCCCAAACTGCTGGGATTACAGGCATGAGCCACCGTGCCCAGCCTCTACTATTTATTGATTTTTATAAATGAAGTATATTGTGTGCAAATGATGCCAGTCAGATGCTAGGAGACAACTGAGGGAACCATGAAGAAAGGGATGCACACCTTGTAAGAGAAAGCCAAGTAGGTTTGACCCCAGCCTGACCCTGCCTTATAGAAAAATAATGCAGCTTTGTACTTTATAAAGGGGTTCCAACCTAATGTTCTAACTCATTGCCTATCATTGCATTTCATACATCCTGTATTCCTCCGAGTCCTTATTTCACACGGCCTGGGTTGAAATTCTGGCTCTCCCATTTACTAGCTGTGTGGCCTCAGGCAAGGAACCTCACCTGTTTATACCTTAGTTTCCTCTGCTGTAAATCATTACAGTACCATTTTTCTTAATCAACAATCAATTGTAGCTCTTTTTATGTTTACCTTTTTTAAATAAATTCAGTAAGCAAAATGCCTAATAAACCAACCTTGGATGAGTTTATTCCTTAGCCATCAAGAGATTCGACATTTCATCAGAAGTCTGCTCAAATGTTCACAAAACCGTCAGGAAGACATTCTATTTCATGACAGCGGAACTTGTAACAGTTAAAAACGAGGCAGAGATCTCAAAGCCTCAAAAATTTTGGTTTTTATTATATCATATTACTATAAATATATTGATGGGTTCCCATGATTCTAATTACCTCAGTTTTTAAAAGATATATAATATATCGGTTATATTATGATTAATTGATTTAATATTGTCTTTGAGATCACACCAATGAAAAGTTAGTCATCTTGTCCAGTATAACATTGTTTCTGTGAGAAAACCAAATAACTTAAATTATTTTGTCATGAGGTCAGAGCACAGGAGTAGAAAGTGGACATTAGGAACCCAGCAGACCCTGTGTGGTTTGGGTTAAAGAAAGGCCAGTGACACCACCAGCTAAGAGGAGATTCGACCAGCTAAGAGGCAGTGAGAAAAGTTCCTCAGTTTAGCATGGGATTGAAACCAAAGAAATTGTTTCATTTGTCTCCATATATTCTTGCATATAGTTTGGCAGAGACCAAATCCATTTTTTAAAAGAATGTGCTCCTCTTAAATCTGAGATAATAAAAGTAATGGTCTGTTCTGGTTTATAGATACATTTATTATTATTGCATTGTAACGCATGTAAGAGTAGGAAATAGCTAAACATTAAAAAAATCCAGAAAAGAAACTCGATCTTGTGATTTTTTACTGACCTCCGTAAAGTGGGGGAAGTTTTTCAGGTGTCACTCAGCATGGAAGTTATTATCTTCCTGCAAAAAGCCAGATGATCTGCAGAACCCCCTCCTAGTGCCCCAAATAAGAGAGACCATTCCCGGGTAGGAGGCAGCTGCTCCAGGCACTTTACCAAGACTCGATTGGAGGTGCCTGAGTGTCCTTAGCCGCCAGTCTTACATAAACCTGGAGCAGTAAATTAGGCAGAGCAGCTGTTAGAGCTATAAAAATCCAGGAGATGAAAGTGTGCTTAAAATCTAAGCTCTGAGTAATTGCCACAAGAGACACTGAGGAGTCTCTGTAGTTAGACTAAAAGAAGAAGTGATCATTTTGATTTGGATTATTACGGGACAAGGAAGAGCAAGGGATATGGAAAGGATGTACAGACAGATAAGAAACTGGAAAAGAACAGGAAGTGGATTGAGACATTTCTCACAGTGACAAGTTTTACAGTGAGAAGTTTACCGGCTCCCTTGTGAGGCGGGCCCTGGGTTAATGCCACCACTCTTGTATAGTCTTCGTAATTAGGAGCATGTTTGTATGTATGGAGTGTATGTGTAGGTATCGGCTCAAGTGTCAATTAATGCACCAAGTCTGATTTTTTAGAAGTAGCTGCCTGAAGCACAGGGTTGATAAGGAATCAAAGTCTGAGCCTAGATGCAAAAAATGATACTATAGGCTGGGCATGGTGGTTCACACCTGTAATCCCAGCACATTGGGAGGCTGAGGCAGGAGGATCACTTCAGCTCAGGAGTTTGAGACCAGTCTGGGCAACATAGACGTTGTCTCTACTAAAAAAAAAATTGTTTCTTAATTATCTGGATGTGGTTGCATATGCCTCTAGTCTCAGCTACTCAGAAGGCTGAGGTAGGAGGACTGTTTGAGCCCAGGAGATGGAGGCTGGAATGTGCCACTGTACTCCAGCCTGGCTAACAGCCTGAGACACTGTCTCAAAAAAAAAAAAAAATAGATATTTGATCTGCCTTGGATGGAAACAGAAAGGTAGGCCTTAGATGCAAAGGGAGAGATTAGTAACCCTAGTGACAAAACCTAGACCTTAACTGATAAGGAAATTATAGATGCTTCGATACTAGTATGTATAGTCATTCTCAATAAATCTCGTTTTCCCTATTATAAATCTCCAAGTCCAAGGAGCTTTAAGGTATTGTTCAAGATTGTTATCTGTGACAGATAGACCCTTGAAAACAATTCCTGTTAAAATACCAGGGCCAAGAAAATGCACAGATGATAAGCAGCAGCCCTTACAGCATATTCCAAGCAGTTTCTGAGGGTGCCGCAGCTGGGGAAGAAAATCACTGCAGGGCTCACAATCTCACAGAGACAGAGAGGACCCCATTACCCAGAAGTGCAGTGATTAAAAGCAGTCCAGGAAATACTAACTAGATACGGAATAAATACATTCCTGGAAGGCTAACTCACAGCTATCGTCTCTTTCGGATTCCCAGCTTGCTTTAAAGACCAAAGAATGCTTGACTGCACTTCATTTGAGCAGAAAAATGGGTTAAGTTAAAGAAGGAAGAGAAGCTATACACATTCAAGATGGTCTGACAGATTGAGGGCTGTGTCAGAGAGCAGGGCATCATCACCCAAGGAGAAACACCGAGACAACACAAGTTCTAGACTTTATTCAAACCAGCTGCCTTGCTCTGGGGCTGGACTCTTATTGCTGGTGGCTAGTTTGATATTTAATCAAATTTCAGATTTTCCTTTTTATTGCCCAAGTGGAAAAGGACACAGTTTAAGAACCTAAGCATTCATTATACTCAGCTTGTCACACCGGTCTTCTTTGGAATATGCTATAAGAGATGTTCCTTATCATCGGTGCACTTTCTTGGTGCTGGCATTTTAACATATTACAATACACTAAATATAATATTCAATTTAATGAAATACATGAAATACAACCACAACAGTACTAATAGCTAAAATCTGGATGTCAGCCTGGTGCCAGGATCTCACCCACTGCATTCCTTGTGTTCTCACATTTAGTCCTCACAACATAACAATGAAACATATAGGGCTTGACACATGCTAGTTACTGCTTCTGGCGCTTTACGAGTATTAACTTGTGTACTGTTTACAACAGCCCGTTAACCTAGAACTAAGATTTTATAATGAAGACACTGAAGCACAGAGGTAAATGAACTTAACCAAGGCCATACACACTAATAGGTGGCAGAAGTAGGATAGAAAATCAGGTGATCCTGTGAAACGGGCCTCTGAATACTGACTTGTAGAAGAGGAACAAACAAAGATGCAGAAAGGTGAACTCATTTGCCCGAGGTCAGAGAGCTAGACCTAAGTCAGAGTGTAACCCCAAAGACTGCACTCCCATCCATCTTCCTAGACTGCCGTGGTTGGGGCCAGAAAAAGGGTTTTCTGGCGGGGTGTGGTGACTCATGCCTGTAATCCCAGCACACTTTGGGAGGCTGAAGCAGGTAGATCACCTGAGGTCAGAAGTTCAAGACCAGACTGGCCAACATGGTAAAACCCCATTTCTACTAAAAATACAAAAATTAGCTGGGCACGGTGGCACATGCCCGTAGTCCCAGCTACTTGGGAGGCTGAGGCAGGAGAATCACTTGACAGAAGGCGGAGGTTACAGTGAGCCAAGATCTCGCCACTGTACTCCAGCCTGGGTGACAGAGTGAGACTCTGTCTCAAAGAAAAATAAAAGGTTTTCCTTTTGTTAACTTTTACCAGATGAGACTGTCTTGGTTTGCCTTAAGAATTTGAGGAAATTCAGTTATTGCATGATTGATACATCCAATTTTCAGACAACGCAAAGGTCTTCCTAGAAAAAAATATCCAAATTCTCAGATTTTACTTCTAAAATAACTTGTGTACTCTTCTGTTTCAGAGGAGACACCGTGACCTATGCCTATGCCTGTATCACCAAAGGGAAATAAGACAAGGTTTCTAAAACCCTCTGACAACATACACTGAATTATTAACACTTGAAATGAAGGCATTATCTATACAGTGAATCTTAAACATCTGAGATGCATGTGTTAGGTTTGTAGATTATGCCCAGCACCGGCTGCTTTCTTTGTACCACCCACGCATGAAGCAGTGCTAGGATGGGGGAAGTGTGTGCAAGTGCCTCAGCCTGAATGTGAATCAGAACACATTCCAAAGCCAAACACAAATGCTTTTGGACTATTAATGGCTTCATTTTCTTTGTACCCTTCCCTTGGTGTATTAAAGGGGCTCCAGGAGTGTTGTGGAGCCATGCATTTATTCACACATTTGTCTTCCTGCAAAATTCAAACCTCTTTATGTCTCAATGAGAAATCAAGCGCCCAACATTTCCTTTGGAAGCAAATTCATAAAGAATTCAACTTAGAAAACAGTGTACTATGAAGAGCATAAATTTAAGAGCAATACCTTGATATGAAAGCCACTCTCCAGTCTTGATTTGTTGATAAAATTATACTGTGTTACTCCCCAACCAATTTCACCAACGTACTCATGTTTATATTTTGCTGGGAAGCTTCCATTCAAGGCAGGCCTCCATAAATATCTGAGATCTCCAGTTTTTTCTAATGCTGGATGCTGTTCTCCTACATAGGAAGTGTGCTGATGAACTTTGGGCAAATAATCCTTTACATAGTCTGGACCTGTGAAAGAAAAAGTATTTAAAACTTATCCACCCTTTATCCTAAGATACTTTTGCTATTTTAACCTTGGAAATACTAATAGCCAATGATTACATGGCACTATGTTCTAGGTGCTATTACAAGCCTTCTAGATAGGTCAATTCAATTAATGCTTATTAATAACCAAATGAGATTTGTAGAATTATTTTCCCTAGTTTATGTATGGGGGAAATGAGGTACAGAAAGATTGGTTACTTGTCCAGAATTACAGATAACAAGCTCTCTGTTACCCAGGCAGGCTGATGTGAAGGTTGGGCTCTTCATTGCCCCACTAAACTGCTTTGTTTATAAATCAACTTATTACAGACATGGGCTGGATGTGGTGGTTTATGCCTGTAATCCCAACACTTTGAGATTACAAGACAGGCCAAGGTGAGCAGATCTCTTGAGCTCAGGGATCTGAGACCATCCTGGATAACTACTGAGATCCTGTCTCTACAAAAAATTTAAAAAACTAGCCAGGCATGGTGGCGCACACCTGTGGTCCCAGCTCTTTGGGAGACAGAGGCAAGAGTATTGCTGAAGCCCAGGAGGTGGAGGCTGCAGTGAGCTACGATTGTGCCACGGCACATCAGCTTGAGCAACAGAGCAAGACTGTCTCAAAAAGACATGATATATCCTAAAATTTATCAAATGCCACATTTGCAAAATGTAGGCCTTCAAGACACTGAGGTGTTTTATCTAGATAGATAAAAACCTGAAATGAGTATTAGAATACTCCCCAAATGTGTTAGCAAAAATTGAAAAATGGAGAAAACTGTTAGATGAGGATAGCTTATAACAGATGACTAAAGAAGTACTCATATTTTAAATGTAAATCAATGAACAAAAAATAATCAATGAATTATAGAAGTGGGTGAAACAAGCAGAAATAAGAGAAGGTCTGGAAAAAGATCACTTAAATTCTTTTTTTAAATTATACGTTAACTTCTGGGATACATGTGCAGAATGTGCAGGTTTGTTACATAAGTATCCATGTGCCATGGTGGTTTGCTGCACCCATGAACCCATCATCTACATTAGGTACTCCTCCCAATGCCATCCCTCCCCGAGGCCCTAGCCACTGACAGGTTCTGGTGTGTGATGTTCCCCTCCCTGTGTCCATATGTTCTCATTGGCCAACTTCCACTTATGAGTGAGACCATGTGATGTTTGGGTTTCTGTTGCTATGTTAGCTTGCTGAAAATGATGGTTTCCAGCTTCATCTATGTCCCTCAAAAGAATGAACTCATCCTTCTTTATGGCTCCATAGTATTCTACGGTGTATATGTGCCAAATTTTTTTATCTAGTCTAACATCGATAGGCATTTGAGTTGGTTCCAAGTCTTTGCTATTGTGCTTCAATAAACGTGTGTATGTGTTTTATAGAATGATATATAATCCTTTGGGTATATGCCCAGTAACGGGATTGCTGGATCAAATGGTATTTCTCGTTCCAAATCCTTGAGGAATCACCACACTGTCTTCCACAATGGGTGAACTAATTTATACTCCCACCAAGCATAAAAGCATTTCTATTTCTCCACATCCTCCCTAGCATCTGTTGTTTCCTGACTTTTTAATGATTGCCATTCTAACTGGCATGAAATAGTATCTCATTGTGGTTTTGATTTGCATTTCTCTACTGACCAGTCATTATGAGTTTTTCATGTATTTCTTGACCGCATAAATGTCTTCTTTTGAGAAGTATCTATTCATACTCTTTGCCCACATCTTAATGATTGTTTTTTCTTGTAAATCTGTTCAAATTCTTTGTAGATTCTGGATATTAGCCATTTGTCAGATGGATAGACTGCAAAATTTTTCTCCCATTTTGTAGGTTGCCTGTTCACTCTTATGATAGTTTCTTTTGCTGTGCAGAAACTCTTTAGTTTAAATCTCTTTTGTCTGTTCTGGCTTTTGTTGCTGATGCTTTTGGTGTTTTAGTCATGAAGTCTTTGCCCATGCCTATGTTGCTAATGGATTTACCTAGGCTTTCTTCTAGGGTTTTTATGGTCTTAGGTCTTCTGTTAAAGTCTTTAATCCATCTTAATTTTTGTATAAAGTGTAAGGAAGGGGCCCAGTTTCTGTTTTCTGCATATGGCTAGCCAGTTTTCCCAACTCCATGTATTAAATAGGGAATTCTTTCTCCATTGCTTGTTTTTGTCAGGTTTATCAAAGATCAGATGGTTGTAGATGTGTGGTCTTATTTCTGAGATCTCTATTCTGTTCCATTGGTCTATGTTGAAAAAGGTTTAGAGGAATTGCTAACTAGACTATCCAGTCTAGAGAATAACATAAATGACCTGATGGGGCTGGAAAACACAGCATGAGAACTTTATGGTGCATATACAAGTATCAATAGCCACATCAATCAAGCGGAAGAAAAGATATCAGATTGAAGATCAACTTAAATGAAATAAAGTGTGAAGACAAGATTAGAGAGAAAAGAATGAAAAGGAATGGTGTACCTGAAAGTGACAGGGAGAATGGAACCAAGTTGGAAAACATACTTCAGGATATTATCCAGGAGAACTTCTCCAACCTAGCAAGACAGGCCAACATTCAAATTCAGGAAATACAGAGAATACCAAAAAGATATTACTCACGAAGAGCAGTCCCAAGACACATCATTGCCAGATTCACCAAGGTTGAAATGAAAGGAAAAAAGTTAAGGGCAGCCAGAGAGAAAGGTTGGGTTACCTGCAAAGGAAGGCCCGTCAGACTAACAGTGGCTCTCTGCAAAAACCCTAACAAGCCAGAAGAGAGTGGTGGCCAATATTCAACATTCTTAAAAGAATTTTCAACCCAGAATTTTATATCTGGACAAACTAAACTTCATAAGTGAAGGAGAAATAAAATCCTTTACAGACAAGCAAATGCTGAGAGATTTTGTCACCACCAGGCCTGCCTTGCAAGAGTTCCTGAAGGAAGCACTAAATATGGAAAGGAAAAACCAATACCAGCCACCACAAAAGCAAACCAAAATGTAAAGACCATCAACACTATGAAGAAACTTCATCAACCTATGGGCAAAATAACCAGCTAGCATCATAATGACAGGATCAAATTCACATATAACAATATTAATCTTAAATGTAAATGGGCTAAATGCCCCAATTAAAAGATACAGACTGGCAAATAGCACAAAGAGTCAAGACCCATCAGGGTGCTGTATTCAGGAGACCCATCACACGTGCAAAGACCCATCTCACATAGGCTCAAAATAAAGGGATGGAGGAATATTTACCAAGCAAATGGAAAGAAAAAAAAAAAAGCAGGAGTTGCAATCCTTGTCTCTGGTAAAACAGACTTTAAACCAACAAAGATCAAAAAAGACAAAGAAGGGTATTATATAATATAAAGGGATCAATGCAACAAGAAGAGCTAATTCTAAATATATATGCACCCAATACAGGAACACCCAGATACATAAAGCAAGTTCTTAGAGATATACAAGGAGAATTAGGCTCCCACACAATAATAGCAAGTGACTTTAACACCCCACTGTCAATATTAGACAGATCAACAAGACAGAAAATTAACAGCTTTATTCACAACTTGAACTCAGCGCTGGACCAAGCAGACCTAATAGACATCTACAGAACTCTCCACCCTATATCAACAGAGTATACATTCTTCTCAGAACCACATAGCACTTATTCTAAAATCTACCACATAATAGGAAGTAAAACACTCCTCAGCAAATGCAAAAGAACAGAAATCATAACAGTCTCTCAGACCACAGTGCAATCAAATTAGAACTCAGGATTAAGAAACTCACTTAAAACTGCACAACTACATGGAAACTCAACAACCTGCTCCTAAATGACTACTGGATAAATAACAAACAAGGCAGAAATAAAGTAGTTCTTTGAAACCAGTGAGAACAAAGACACAACATACCAGAATCAGAATCTCTGGGACATAGCTAAAGCAGTGTTTAGAGGGAAATTTTTAGCACTCAATGCCCACAGGAGAAAGCAGGAAAGATCTAAAGTTAACACCTTAACATCACAATTAAAAGAACTAGAGAAGCAAGAGCAAACAAATTCAAAATCTAGCAGAAGACAAGAAATAACTAAGATCAGAACAGAACTGAAGGAGATAGAGACACAAAAAAACCCTTCAAAAGAATCAATGAATCCAGAAGCTGGGTTTTTTTTTTTTTTTTTTTTAAGATCAACAGACTGCTAGCCAGACTAATAAAGAAGAAAAGAGAAAAGCATCAAATAAACACAATAAAAAATGAAAAAGGGGACATCATCACTGGTCCCACAGAAATACAAACTACCATCAGAGACTAGTATAAACACTTCTACACAAACAAACTAGAAAATCTAGAAGAAATGGATAAAGTCCTGGACAAATACATTCTCCCAGGATTAAACCAGGAAGAGGTTGAATCCCTGAATAGACCAATAGCAAGTTCTATAATTGAGGCAGTAATTATTAGCCTACCAACCAAAAAAAGCCCAGAACCAGACAAATTTACAGTCGACTTCTCCCAGAGGTACAAAGAGGAGCTGTACCAGTCCTTCTGAAACTATCCCAAACAACAGAAAAAGAGGGACTCCTCCCTAACTCATTTTATTAGGCCAGCATCATCCTGATACCAAAACCTGGCACAAACAAACACACACACAAATTTCAAGCCAATATCCCTGATGAACATCAGTGGAAAAGCCTCAATAAAGTACTGGCAAATCAAATCCAGCAGCACATCAAGAAGCTTGTCCACCACGATCAAGTCAGCTTCATCCCTGGGATACAAGGCTGGTTCAACATATGCAAATCAATAAATATAATCCATCCCATAAACAGAACCAATGACAAAAAACACATGATTATCTCAGTAGATACAGAAAAGGCCTTTGATAAAATTCAACATCCCTTTATGCTAAAAACTCTCAATAAACTAGGTATTGATGAAACATATCTCAAAATAATAAGAGCTATTTATGATAAACCCACAGCCCAAT